TGTGTTTCTTTATATTTTTCTTTCTCTTCTTTTTCTTTTACCGTTCTGTCGCAATAGATCCCTCCTTACAAGGAGCTAAACAGTGTCACATGTAGCCAGCCATCAACAGAGTATCCATCTCTCAAGTACAGCATTGAATGCTTTGTCTAAAAGCAGGTTTCCATTGTTAGTGTAAAACTTTGCACAGATTTACTACACAGTTGTGTAGTAAGGTGACCAGCTTTCACCATCAGAAAAACATGTGGTGAAAGTGTTGTGTGCATCTGGCTTGGACATAAACATTAAATCTGTGACAAGCAATATCCTTTCTAATATTTCTGTATAAACAAAACAATAAAGAGACTTATCTTTAAAAGCCTCTGAGCTAATCCTCCTTAAAGATATTTTCCTTGATATGAAGTGTCCCATTTTTTTCAAAATTTATGGATATAAGAAATCTTTCAGTCAGTTCATGTTTATATCATTAATGTATTAAGAAATGAGTGACCAATTGACCTGTAAAACGAGGTTTAACAAAAACCTCTACTTAGCACAAAATTTCAGACTTTATTTAATATTAAAGAAAACAAATAAAAGAAGGAAGCAAAACAAATGCTTTAGTTAGACCCTTCCTGATGACATTCTGCTTTACTTTGCCTTCATTATTCTTTGCCTTCAGTCCAGACATTTGATCTTTATAAAATATACTTTCCAACAAAAGAAAATATAGTATATTCTTACCCACAAAACATCCAGACTGTTCATTACTTAATCAGTTATGGAAGCAAAGTCTCACAATTTGGACTGTTTAAAGAAGCTGTATTTAACTTATGGTTAGGTATTGTTCTCCCAATACTTTTTTTAAAAGACTGGAGAAAGGTTTCATCCCGTGTATTTTTTATACCCAAATAATAGTTGAATTGTAGATAAAGATTGCTTTCAGAGGAACTATGGTCAGCATGCTACAATGCGTATTGGAAAAAACTAAACGATGAAGGCTGTATATCAATTCTTTACAAGGTAAGGCTTTCAATATAAATCAATCCATTAACCCACGTCCCTTGGCTGTTGTTTATGACAATACTGACAGAAGTGCAGAGCTTTACAGCAGAGAGGGTGTGCAGAGCATGCAAATAGATAAACAGCTATTACCTGGAGGAAGCAGTACAGCAACAAACGAAGTTTAGATTTTTCTATCAAGTCAGCACTTTAGCAGGGCAATTCAAGTTTGTGACCTCCTGTCACATACCTGAGCTGGAGCCAACACCAATTGGCTGCAAAAGTGTAGAGATCATTTCTCTTATAATCCCTCCTGCTATATTTCTTGGGATGGAATTTTGACATATGTCAGGCATAATTTCCCCTTTTGAAAGAGGCAGAATTTAATTTGATTTCCCCCTTGTCTCCTGGGTTTTTTGGAAATAGGAGTTTATACAATTTAGACAAATGCTACAGAGTTATAACTAGAACAGCCTACCTTTTTTTTTTTTTTGTCTGGTTGTTCAAGGGTAAATATATTTTGCTGCAAATTGTTTGATGCTTTTTACTAAGGGGGTTTTGTGTTCAGCATTATCCTTTGAAGTGAGATAGATTGATACTTTTCCTTTTTCATCTTCTTATATTTAAAGGTACATTTCACAACTAAAGAAAAAACCCCACATTTTCAATAAAACGTTGTATAAGATTTGGCACTATTTCAAATGTTACAAGTTTGTTTACCAGCATGTAGAGCAGTAAATAATGAAATCTCAAATGCCCATTTAAAGTTAAATGGATTAAAAATTGGTTAAGTATAATTATATCAATTTCATTCAGGTAAAATATTATTGATATCTGAATATTTAAATACTAAACAGAGGAAATTACCACTGAATTGCAGCTGACCTCAACTATGTCAAATATTTTCAAAGCCAAATAAATAGAAATATTTCTTTACTTCTTTTCTAAGCACATTACTTCTCACTCTTATCCCTAATTCCCAGTTTTTTGAGACTTATTAGCTAAACACAAGTTTCTTCAACACGTTGTACAGTCTTATTTGCATTTTAAAATAGAGTTCTTGCTTTATATGGTATCACTTTTGCACAGGGAATGATAAAACCAGTGGTGCTAAAAGATTCAAAATAGCTCCATCAGATAAGACTTCTACAAAATGTATAGGTATATTAATAATGGAGATAATTGATATTTCATAATAAAAAAATTGACTTTAGTTTCTTTCTTGCTTGTAAACTTTCTTCTGTAAGATTTCCTGTATTAAGCAAAGATTCTCAGCTAGTGTAAGTCAGTGTGTTTTCACTGCATGCAGTACAGCATGAGGATCTAGACAGTGAAAAGTTCATAAATATTCATCTTGCTAGGTGTGCAACTCAGTTTTGACTGGGCCATAAATCACAGCGTTTCTTTTCCTTCATGAAATGACTAAGAACCTGAAGAACATGTGTTTCTGAGTACAAAAGTGCAGGGCAGAAGGAGTTTTAACAAAAATTGGTGCATACAACATTACTATTCCTTTTTTTCCACAACTCTTTGTGTCAGTAAAATTCAGAACTTTAAAAGGTATAAGACAAAAAAATGCCATGAGAGTCATAGAAAATCAAAATTTTGTGCAAATTTTATTTTTTTATTTGAAAAAATCCCACAATCTTTCAATTTTGATGAACAATCTATGTTTGTTCAATTTCACAGGTATAATCTTTGCTTTATTGAACTTCCAATATTTTTTAATCTGGTTAACCAGCTTCTTACAATAAATTTTAGACTTTGACATTTCAACTAATCTTAAATAAATTATTCGAAAACTGGAAGAAATCACTACAATCTTCTGATTGGAACCCCATAACACTGATCAGAACACTATATTGCTGTTTGAGTAAAGATGTCTATTTAAGCGGATAGAACTCCACCTTGGTTTACAAGTTGTCATTAGTAAAGAGACTTTATCTCAACTTTTGCCAAGTTTGCCAAGTTGCTTTAATCATTCCTTAAGTTGGGTCTTGAAAATATATTTTCTATTTCTTATTATCTAGTATATGGCTGGGAGACAATTACATGTGCAACTGCCTCATTTTTCACTTGACAGGCGTAAGATTGCACCCAAGACAAGTAAATAGAGAATCTGAGATTTCTGATTCAGATAAAATGAAGATCACAAATATTTAAATTGTCCATAAGTGTTTGTCTTTCATGTTTTAGAGAGTTCAAAAACTTCATAAAAGGGAGTACTATTCTGATAATGGAGTTTTGTTGACTATCCATGAGAAAGGGAAGAAGATGCTAAAATATTTATCTGGCATTCAGTTTAAATCAAGGAATTTTTTTTCCATGGGAAATAAAGAAAATAAGAAAATATTGCTATCTTGCCTTCAGTAGAAATGTGATCAGAAACAGCTGTGAGTACAGACTAAATAGATATAGGCGGAGTCTATGTATCAAGATAAAGCAGTAGTACAAATACAACAAACTCTTTCAGGACTGTAGGACTTTGGAATCACTGAAAAATTTTACTAGTATCGTCTGATTTGACTTTCACCCAACAGGGACATCTTTCTACCCTGAAACACAGATACATAGCCTAGTAGTGATGCAGCAAGGACACTGACTTGCTTACTAGTGACTAGAGCTTCTAAACTTTGATTAAACTTTTACTGCACGTTAAAGAAGTCAAAATCTCAGGAGACCACAGTGCTGTAAAAGCACCTGTGGCTGCATCTAAATAGACTCAGGTTTGACTCTTCCGCATCTATTTGGTCATCAACACACTCCTTTACATGGGGTTTTGGCTTTTACCATGTTGTGCTCACTGAGACATTGTCTGTGGCTGCTGCAAGGGATGGTGTAAGTCAGGGACAGCTCACTGATGGTACAATGCAGACTATCCTGGGATGGGAGAAAGCTTGGGTGTATAGGAGGGAGTCCTGCTGCATTCTTCTGTGTGAAGACTGATGAGTAGGCCAAATAGCATTTGATTTGTTATCACAGAAGTGGATTTTATGAATGCTCTAACAAGATGGCTCTGTGCCCAACACAGGCTATAGTCTAAAAGTCTATAGTCTAAAGCCTAAAAAGCAAGAGATACCACGTAGACATAGAAAGGACTGAGAGAAAAATGTGAAAGACAGAATCTGTAGTCTGTGATCTCAGCACACTGGCTGAGCTTTCCACTGAAAACATTTCAGCATGATTTTTGGTGTCTACATGTTACAGAGATTGTCAACAGAGACTGTTGCAAATGATGCTACATGAAGGCATCTCTGGGCCTTCTAAATAGTAGTTACCTAAATAACTGATAGAGAGTTGTTTTTACTTCAAGCTGATACTAAAATAAACAAATATGTGGTAGAATCATCTGATTAATCATTACTTGCTTATGACTGTTTCTCTGAGACAGAGAGGAAGAGACACATACCTGCCTGCACACTCCATGGTTAAGGCTCTACTCATGCCTAGGTGACTCACAGTCTGAATGTGGCTCAGATCCTTAGTTTTGTACTCTGTGAGCTAAAAGGGGTCTTTGAAATGGCATCTGCCTGTCTTTCATTCACCAGACTGAAAGATCAATCACCAGACTGAAGTCATGTGTCAGCTTGAGTAAATGGTCCCCCATTATGTGGTGACACAATGCCCCTCCCCCCTCCATGAGCTGCACTGTGATCTCAGAAACACTTTGTTAGGCCTCAGACTTGATGAACAACATCTGGGTTAAGCTCCTCTTGAGCTTATCAGAAACACTGTCTGCTCCCAAGAATTTATGTTGTCTAACAATCCCCTGTTTTCTAACCAGCTGCCCTGGAAAATTATTTTTCTTTCCTGACTAACAACCCAAATGGAACAACAGTGTTGTTACTGAACTTTCAAGGAAAGTTACTGACCTGAATTGAGGTCAGGATGGAAAATTGCTACGACTAAAGACATCTCTCTTGCAACCCTATAAATAGTGGTCCTCAAGTAAGACTCTCAGCTCTCCTCGACCGCAGTGGGCTGTGACCAGCAATCTCACTCCGAGTGGCACACCTCTCAGAGCCAGAGGACTCCATTTGCTTTACCTGAAGAACTGCTGCCAAACACCAACAATGGAGCCTTACTCCTCAAGGCTCAACCCTTCACCTATTGAGAAGATCTAAAGACATCCAACATGAGTATGTCACTGAACTTGAGGGGAATTTTTCACAGGTACATATTTGTACATACATTCCTGTGCATGTGAATGTGAATATGCTATAGTAAATATATTATGAACGTTGCAGTCTTAGATTCTTAAGTACAGTAGATTCATAAGTTAGGCCTACAAAAGAGTTATGGTTGTGCTATAGTAAATTCTATACATTTTTTTCTTAAACTGTTTAAATTGGGCTATCGATTAAGTGCTATTAAGTGCTGTTAAAACCTTTAGGTATGAACTGTTGGTCAAGTTTGGTGCAAAGTTTGGCAAGGAGGTCCACTCTGAAGCTTATGGCTCAGTGGAAATGTCCTTAATTCCTTTTTATCCTAACCTTGTCCTATCCTTTACTTTTTTTCATCCCCAGCCTACATGGAAATAATTTTAGGTGTATTTTACTTTTAGAATGATAGATGTTAGATTTTAGTCTATTTTTTTCTTTATGTGCTTTAACCATTTAGGAATTAGTAGAGTGAACTTTGCCAATAAGCTTTGTTGTGCTTTCACTTTTGCATTAAACCTGTTTATGTCGATATCTTTTGCTGGTGATTCTTTGAGCGACCTAAACAATGACAGACCAAATCCTACCCTTTCTCAGCAGCACTCATAATGACAAAGAAACAGAGGAACTCCAATGTTCACAAAGTGCAGTGGACTGCAGATATCTCATGTGAAGGCACAGGATGACCAATCCTTCCCTGACATCTCCCATAGATGGTTGAATCTTCCAGCGTCTTTCTGCAGGTAGGTATGTCTTGGGGAGGAACAGGGGACAAGCTAGTCTGTACAAAACAAAAAATTTATAACATTTATATAAATTCAATTTAGTGAAGATTAGTTACATTCTTCAAAGGGGATGAGGGTGATGATTTCTATTCCTGATACATTTTGCCTTTTCTCATTGAGAATTTGCCTGATCTGGAGACTTTTATCAGAATGCTATGAATCCCTGTGTAGTAGGATTAATAATTAAAGTACTAATATATTTTTAACTTTGAAATTGCATATGCAGTCATAACACAATTCCACAGAACCTTCTTAGCCTGCCTGCTGTAAAAGGGGACCTATGATATTTTCATGAATGTTTGATATTGCAGATAGGCAGAATAGTTCAGTTCTTAATGGTGCCTAATAATAGCATTGCAAACAGTTTTCTAAGGAGGAAAGCTGTGTTGCTAAATTTATATGGTGTCACCTATCCCACCAAAAATAAGCCTTCTGATAATTACAAGATTATTCTGTGTACAACACGAGCAAACACACACACTTGCACACACATGCACTAACACACTCCCTCACCTCTTTCTCCCTCTGCTACAGACACTGACACAGCAGCAATGCATGATGCTCATCTTTTAAATGTGTAACAACTTCAGCCTCACTGAGTTACCATTTTCCCTCCACAACTGTATGTACCTGAGTAGATGATGAAAAGGAGATAAATAGTGAAGGATAGAGTAACCTGACATTTTAATCACTGTTATTGCTCTAGTCACATTTCAGTGTTTTGCTGAAGAGGAGAAACTGGAAAGAATGAGAGGTAATGAGATAAGGAGAAATGCTTGTCATAACGTGCCACTTCTTATCAGCATGTTCTCGTCTAAACAGACACCACATATTTCTTTCAACACTCTGTACATTATCCTTCATACAAATATGCTAGAAATGAGGGAATAATTTACAGGGGGGAAAAAAAAAGTACAGTAACCTTAGAGTGTGCTTTTGTTGTTGCTCATTTTTCAAAGTGTTGTTAATGATTGTGTACGTCACGTGAGGTTGCTTCTGCTTCCTCTCTAAAAGAATATAACTTCCAAATCAGGAAGGGGGTAAGAGGAAATCACTGAGGCTTCAACTTCATGGAGGATTAATCAGGAGATGATTAGTAAGTAGGTGACCATAACCTAAGTAATCTAAGAACTTTTTTTTTTTTTTCTCCTAGAAGGGATTTATTAAATCCAGGAAATCTTTTTAGCTATTCAGATTGCTATGACAGTTAGTGGCTCAAACGGGAAATTTCACCAAGTTCTCTCATCAGATAAGTATTTGATGACCGGGCTTAAAAAGGACACAGTCAGATTCCTATCTAACTCAGTGTGCCAAGGCTACAGGCCAGAAATGATTTTGCCAAGCCTTATCTTAAAAGCAGACAGTCACATTCCTGACCTATGACAGAAGGAGCAGTCTCTCCCTAAGCACTCTTTGCTATTTGAGTATTTTTACTTAAGCAAATGTAGAAGAGACAAAACCAGCTGGTTCATTTATTTTGCCAGAATGTCTTACATAATTGTTCACACCCATCTTTTTTCCAACAGCCCAAATGACAGAACATTTGAGGCATCCAAATGAGAGATCTCACGGAGTCTCCATCCATCTCTAATGCACAACAGAGCCACAGTCTGCAGGGAGATGCTCTCTAACCCTCCTGGAAGTGGCTGTAGAACCAAGGCATTCCTCTGCTTTTCAAATGGTAAAATTTATTGCTCTGTACAAGAGCAAAAAACAGTCTTTTTTTTCGTAATAAAGGTCTCAGGAAGAGTATGTTCTTAAGAATTCTTTCTCTTCAAGACTTGGTTTTGTGGTTATCTTTATTGTTTTTCTAGCCAAAAACTTTCCTGATTTGGGGTCAATTCTGTTTTATAGGACTTTTTTATTTTTATTTTATTAACAGGAAGACAGAGTTATTTTGACATAGACAGTGAGGTGTGTGGATATCCTGAAAGAATCTGTCTTTTATGGCTCTAATCTGTCTGAGGATTAAAAAGTTATATTAATTAATTTGAGGAGTTTCATTGATTTTGTTGTTCATTTATTTTCCTTTCAATTTAGACTGAATTCTTCCCAGGTTCAAGAATTGTTTAATATTCATTACGCTTTAAAAACCAAATCTTTTTTTTGTTGAGACTTCTACTAATGGATATATTTACATCATATTATGACTTCACAGCTGTGAAGAGGCATTATATTCCTGTTGCCAACAATTATCTCACTTTATCCATAAACTGTTATGAAGTGATAGTAATATGATATTCAAGAAAATAATATGATGTGTCTTCAATGCACCCAGGAAATACAAGTTTATCTTATTAAACAGTTTGAGTCCCAGCATTTTTGAACTTTTGTAATGATGGCCTGCTTCTCTTATAGGAAAGAAAAGTATATTAATCACTGTGAAATGATTTAGAATACTTTTGTCAGGGGAGCCCCTGGTGGTCTAGTGGTAAAGGCGCCGCGCTATCACCGCCGAGACCCGGGTTCGATTCCCGGTCAGGGCCACTCCCGGGCAGGTGGGGCTCGTTAGCCCTTAAAGGCAACCCACCTACGTCCTAAGGACCTCGCTGCCACCGTCCAGGGTCGCTTGGCCCCGGCAGATGAACCTTAGGATTAAAGGGTGGGCTCAGTTCCGCGCACACTGTGTCTCACCTAAAAAATCCAATGTGCAGGCTGGAAGGTGGAAAGACCTTCCCCGGATCTTCACTCGCGAAGACTGGCCATTACTTTTGTCAGGACAAGCTTTGAGAAAATTTTTCATTGCAGTGTGCAATTACAACTTAACCATCTTTGAACGTTTGTGGTAGCAATGTTCATGGATGTAGCTCACCTCAGTCAAAATATTTGTTGAAATTGTTTTCCAAATACATATTTTGTGTCTCTATAATGACATGAGCTAAAGCACAGCAGGACTCCCTTTCCAGTTAGCATATATGTTCTACACTGAGAATTGCACTCCCTGATGAGTCACAAAATACTTGGATTTGGAGTCACTATTGAATATGAAAAACTCTAAAGAATTTAATAGACATCGTACTAATAGCAGTCTTGTGTTTATTAGATTTGCCTCCCATTATCTTCCCTCTAGCAATTCACACAAAGTTGTTTTTTTCACAGCACTCTAAGAGGCTCTTTGCCTCCTTTCCAGCTAATGAGACTTTATACTGCTTTACAGCAGCTGGAAGTGTGTGCCTTTCTCACATGCATGCAGACTTGCACCATCATGTGTCTCAGCTGTGTGTGATTTGCCCTGCAGAGTGGGTCTTCTGCTGTGGGATATAATCTGAATCTGGGAGAAGGAAGGAAGTTCAGCTCAACAGGTTCCTGTTTTGGTTTCATGCACTACTTTCCACTAGGACTTCAGTCTGTGTTAAATGTGTATTATAACACTATAAAATATACTAAGTTCAAAAGAAACCCTAAAGGATGGAGGGGCATATGTGAAAAATATACCTAAGTGGGGACGGTGTTTGTACTTTAGTTTGTTTTACAGGCTTAAATAAAATTCCTCAAATATTTTCAATCTTGTGTTCAAAACACTGTAAGCAAAATTTTCTCTGACTCTTCATGATGAACTGTTTAAAATGTCTTGTGAATTACAGTACAGTGTAAGTACTGTACTAGATGCAGACAAATGGAATTTTTCCCACTGAAATATGCATTGATTATCAAATGATAAATCCATGGCTGTTTATCTACAGGGAAAAAAACATTGGATCTCTATTCATTCTCTGCAAAATTTTTCAGCAGTCTTCAGGGAAATATAAAAGACCACTGTACTCCCACAAAGGCCCTATGTCTATAGAATTAAAAAAAAAAAAAGTTTCCTTCTTAAAAATTAACTAACATTATCCCATGTTTCATAATCATGCCCACATATCTGAGAAATCTTTGCTAATGGGAATCTGAAATGGAGAGTAAAAGTGCTGCTCTCATTTGATTTTTGTCTGGCCTAGCCAATAACACAGTAATTGATTTTACATTACTTTTCAGTGGCTTAAGGAGCTGTAATTAATCTCCTTACAGTTTTGTTAAATGCAAATCCCATAAAGCTGTCTAATATGCTTATGAGACCAAAACACCAGGCCAGTGGCTTAGAATCTGTCCCATGCTGCTAAGAACACCCCTTTGTGTAGCTTTTAATGATGAGCTTACCAGCAGGAGTGGTGAGACGGTGAAAGCTGAATTCTATGATTTAATGATCGTGTCTTACACAAATGCTATCAAACATAAACACAACAGGGAAAGATTTTAATTTTGGCTGGTGTTCAAGAGTTGTTGTTTGTTATAGGATGGCCAGTTAGAGATAATGAGTGTTTCTTCTGGCCTAATGTCATCTCGGCAGAAGATTCAAAGGGTTTACACTGGGGCTTCCGGTTACTGTCAATGCTCAGAGCTCTGCAGACATCTCTGAATATGGAGGATGATAGTCTCGAATTTTGAGGTGAAAAGAAAGGTGTTAATACGAATGCTTACTTGCTAATTTTCAAGTAAAGGATGTTTTTTGCTAACCTAACCTGAAGACCCAATGTGCCAATTTACCAAAGGGGAAAAAAATCCTTAGCTGGAGAAACAAAAGACATGCTATGTGATTAAAGGATACTGAATCATTTGCTATTTTTTGGTAGAAATTGCATAGAGAATGCAAAATTAACATGTATACATTTTTATATGCTAAGCTTTCTAACAGGAAACCTTTAAATAGCATCAGTAAAAAAATAAAAGAAAGATCTGACAGGAACACATAGCAGTCTCAACGCTGAATATAGATTTGGCTCCTTCAAGTGTGGATTAAAGTGAGCTTGAAATGAAATAAACAGAACAGCTTCAGAAGTGTAAAGCTGAAGGGAAGTCATCCATCACAATGGAGGAATGTTTGATCTGATGTACAGTAGTTTAACTCACAAACTTCATTGCTAAAAACATCTATCTCTGTGCTCACTGGAAGTTCTAATAATACAAGGCATGTCCTGAAGAAATTCAATATGCCAAGTAATTGTGAGCATCAGTCTTATGGAATGTGTAAAAAATAGAAACAGTGGACATCTAGATACATTCTGTTTCTTCTGTGCTTGACGAGAATGAAAAATAAGTCCCATAACAACACTTACATAAAATGTCTCAGTTATTTAACAAGTTTTTATATGATATTCCATTCTAAAAGAGGATGTTTAAATGTTTGTTTCTTAACTGTATGCTGATTGGCAACTGAATGTTCATGGGAACTTTCCTGTCTTTCTTCTCCTTGTTCTAGACGCTCCAGTCTTATTAATCAATTAAAGATTTTTATTAAGCTTATTACATATTGCAATTTCCACAGTATTCAGCTGTATTGAGGAATCCAGTCTGCCCCAGAGGGCTTGTCTTCCAAAAATATTAAGCAGGCGGTAGTTCAGAAATAACCTGAGATAACTGGTTATGTTCAGCCTTGTGACAGATTATTTTTAAATACCTAGTTAAGTGTCATCCACAAATAGGCCTCAATAACAAATCTGATAATTTTATCAACTTGGTTTTTTCCTCTTCCTTTTCAATCATTTTAATTTATAATGTGTGAACAGAGTATCCTCCTTCCAGGCAACAAAAAAGAAGCTATTTTGACACTTTCAGGGTAGAAAGAAAAATGCCATTTTTTCCTTGGAGAACATAGTTATCATTTCTTTGATGCTTCAAGGTTAATTTCTGCTGTTTGAAAGAGATTACACTTTGACTATGCTGCATCTTGACCTCCAATGCACCTGTAAAATGCAATGGCCTAAAGAGAATTTTTGGTAAATTCATAGCTCAATTGCAGCATGAACAAGCACTCAAATCTGGGGTACAAGTCCTTCTCCAGAATATATATATGAGATGCAGAAGCATGAAAACAATATGCACAAATCTATAGACTGATAAAGATGTAGAAGAATAGACAGCTAAATAATCCTGTACTACTGAGTAGTAACTGTAAGTAAAGGCTACACTGACAAAGAAGTAAGGTGTCTTACAAAATCATGTTGAAAGAAGTTGTTGTAACACTTTATCATAGGATTTCTTCATATTCAAATTAGAGTGAAACATAAAGATCATATTGAATAACATAGTTTTAGTACTTCCATAACAATTGTAAACAGAAAATTTTCAGATTTCTCTGAATTTAATACATGTGTTTTGTGATTTGTTTTGGGTTTTGATGAGTTTTGGGTTTTTTGGTTTTTGTTCTTTTAATTGTGGCTATAGATCTGATGTTTTCAGACTTGAAAACATTGATTGGATGATCATCTTTATTGGAGATAAAAATTTGCCTTGGTAAAACACACAGCCTTTCACTTTATTGATTTTTTTATTTTGATGTCTTCAGACTTCATGAAAGTGGAAAGGGTGAGCTTTGACCCCTTCTATTTTCATGAGTCACTGATTAACTCTCATCTTTCAACAGCTGGCCCTCAAAGTCCATGGGGCAACAGCCATAAATGTAGAAATGGGTGGGTTTTCATATATATCTATTGTATATGACAACCATAATATTTAGCTAGATATCAAAATACCTGAATAGAGAAGAAAGACCATGTTTATTAAAAATATACATAGTGAATCAATATCAGTAATCTTTTCAGAAAATACTTGGAATTCTTAAGTAGTTGTAGATGCTTCTTCTTCCAAATACTTTTCCCTTTTTATGTGTTGTTTTTACATATCTTAGTGTAGACAGTAACTAGC